ATGGTAATAATACTAAATTAACTTATTTGCACCTGAATCTCAATTTCTCTGGACAGCTCACAACAAATAAATGTCAATAAAAACAATAAAAAATAAAGATACACAATGGCAAGCGTGAGGAAAGGACGGGTTTTAATCTCCCTCACTGAATGCCCAGGTGAAGAGCTGGGTCTTCAGAGCTCTTCTAAACAACAGCCGGAAGGCAGCCAATCCAAGCAGCTTAATCTTGGATGGGACTTCATTCCAGAGAGCAGGAAGCTATGGTAGTCATGAGAGTAAACAGAAGAATGAACTTTGCATATTTTAAGAAGAAACGCAATACCTTAACAGTCCGTATGTAGTCCAAAGCATTGGGAACGAGGGACTCTAATTCTGGGAATCGCTTAGAGTATTTGTCCCGGATAAACTTGTGTATAATATCTAGAGACAAAAGACATCAATCCGTAAAGCATTAAGGTGATTGGGAGGGTGGAACGAGTTTCCTCAACCTAAAAATCTCTAGGTGGATTAGACTCCAAGGTTTCTAATTCCAAGGCAGGATGGGAATAATATTAAGTTCTGATCCAAAACATCTAGCACTTGCCAGGTGGGGAGGTGTGATGGAATGTTTTCTGGACTTCCAGGAGGGAAGGAGTGCATTCCAGAGGAGCAAAAGATTTTATACTTTAGAAAGTCTATGTGAGAAAGAGGGAAAAGATGGCTCCTTCCTAATAATTCTCAGAGTGTACATTTTACGGTGCAAGTAAGTTGTCTTTAGTTTGGCAAGATTTCTGTCAATAGGTGAGAAACAACAGACGTCATCCGCAAGTTACAACCATTCATTTAGTGATCAAAAAAAGTGACTTGAGACTGGTTTTCATATTTACTACCACTGCAGCATCCCCATGATCACATGATCAAAATTCAAATGCTTAGCAATTGGCATGTATTTATGGTTGCAGTGATTTGTGATCAACTTTTGCGATCCTCTGACAAGCAAAGTCAATGGGGAAGCCAGATTCACTTAATCAACATGTTAACTGACTTAACAGCTTCAGTGATTTACTTAACAAATGTGACAAGAAATTTCGTAAAATGGGGAAAAAATTAACAACTGTGTTGCTTCACAATGGAAATTTTGGGATCAATTAGGTGGTAGGTTGAGGACTACCTGTAAGGAAATTGCTAAGACAGTAGAGATGTATCACTATATAACACCTAATATAGTGTTTCCAGTGCATTCCTAGCCTGTCCCAAACCAGCAGCCAAGGTTTTTCACTCACTCAGTTCATTCTCAATCTCTACAGTGAGGTTGTTGGCATCCACAATGACTCTGTATTCAGGTGCAGCCTCTACTGGACCTAGAACTGGAGGGAGACATAGAGTGGTCAAAATCTATACTATGCAGCTGACTGTGAGGTGGATTCATAGACATGTCCAAGTCTTTGACTGAAGGGAAATGATTTGTCTTAATGCAGGAACAGGATGTGACCTCAGTAGGCTCCAAAAAATTAAGGGAAATGTTATCAGTACTGCTATTTCTCCATAGACAAATTTGAACTGAACAGTACCTTCAGATGCTTTTGGTTGCTTGCTGATGTATTCCTCAATCTTCAACATAATTTCAGCAAACTGCACAAAAGAAGTAAAACGATCCAAAGTTATGCTTCCTTTCCATCTTGAACTTCAGAGCGTAAAACAATAATGGCAGGTTACACAACATATGGTGTTCAGGCCAAAATCAATTTTGAAATTTAGCCTTATTACTGTATTCAACCCAAAGCCATTTAAGGATCATTTAGTATCTTCCTAATTTCCAAGGTATACTTTATTTCTGACTGCCCCTTCATCTGATCAAATTTGCATGATCCTCAGATCCGTATTAAACTGGTGAGTCCTACTGTATGTGAAAGATGTCTATTCCTCTCACCATTTTGCTATCCCACAGCTTGGCAATACTCTTGACCGAATCAGTTGCCAGCTCCAGTTGCATCTCTTCATGGACATCTTCAATGGGAGACTCATCCTCTTCATCTGCGAAACTGCCATCTTCTTCCTCTGCTGCCTCTTCAAGGTCAGCCAAAAGCTCATCTGCTAAAGACATGGTGGATCAAGGCTGAAAAGAGAATAAAAGTGGATTAGAGAAGTAAGTCAAAGCAAGGTTAATTTAAAAAAACCCCACCTAAAGTAATTAAATTAAGATTCAGTCTTATATTAATATTTTCTCTCAATACTATCTTGGTAAGAGTCCCAATCCTACATTTCTACAACCAACCACCCTTCAGAAGGTGGGATTTCAGTTTCTAGATGCCACTATAGGAATATAATCCTTGGTAAGCTACCATGTAATAATTGTAACTTGTAAAACTTTCTAGAAAGTAATACACAATCTTAGAACCCAAATAAGCACAATAATTCAGGGTACTAAGCACTTCAACTCCTTTCTGGTTCATTCTGTCTGAAGGAATCGCCTTATCACAGTTGTAACTGCTTTCCTATTGAATCCATTTCAGCCAAAATTTTCCAGATCTTACTAGCTCCTCCCAATATGTCCTTTCTTTCCCATGCTTATATTTGACTGGGCTATTTTCTAGGCAGAAACATCTATGACTACACTTACCTTTTCCAGTGAAGGCAGTATTAGGACTTCTGTCACTTTTGAAGTCTGGTAAGGAAATATCCCTAAAAGGATAGCCCAACAGAGCACAGATTGTTTAATATACCACTAAAACTTTCCTGTTTGTGGGAAATTTGGGAAATGGTGCATTGGAAGGCAACAATTTTGGAACCAAGGTTATCTCAAATAAGCTAACTGGCATACTAAATGAATATGTCTAAAATCTGGAACCAATGACTTCTATGGAATTGAAATTTGACAAATTTTATAAAACATTTTATGATGTAAAAATGATAAAACATTTTATTACACAATACCAAATGTCACGAAATATTTCCCATGGTCAACTTGTGAAGTTTGACTGCATTATACAGTTAACGTAGGCTTTTTTCAAGGCAGATACATCTCTGAATATATCTCTTAATTTTTAAAAAAACTTTTCCAGCTAAGTCAGCACTTTAGAAACCATCTTTTTTGAAGGCATTGAGAAATCTGGTAAGGAAATATTTCTGAAACAGGACCCAGCAGGTTATGCATTGTCTTGTTTATCATATACGTCAATGCAAAGCCCTTAAATGACTATTTTAGTTGTCAAATGAAGTATGTTGTAAAAAATCCTGGTGTGATACTAAATGTATGACATTGTTATGCAGAACTGAATTTAAAAAGAAGAGTCTCCAATGCAAGAAAATTGGGACAGGGAGGGAATGGTGTTGAGGTAAAAGTAGGGTGTATATAACAACTTATACCTATTTCAAATTTATGACACACACAATGTTGTACAAATGTCACAATTACATAAAAGGCATCTGACACAAGTTCCTAAGTTGTGGCATCTGCATGACAAATGAAGACCTATCATATCTTCCCACCCATGAAAGCTCATGGAGTGTATCTAAAAAACTGGGGACAGGGGCTGCTGCATCATGATACTTATAATAATCATATTTTCCTGGAAAAAATGACTGATAGAAGTGGCAAATCTGAAAAAGGTTCATGATAAAGATAATAAAATAATGGCTTATGACTCTGCCTTACAAAGAAAAATTGAAGAGCAAACCCAAGAAAAACTAAATCTAAAGGGAAGCTTTCTGAAATAACAGTCTGTTCTTTATAATAAAATGAAGGGCATATAGTTATAGTAACTATACAGGTAGTCCTCAACATACAACCACAATTGAGCCCAAAATTTACATTGCTAAGTGAGAAGTTAAGTGAGTTTTGCCTCATTTTACTTTTCTTGCCACCTTTGTTAAGTTTTTTAAGTTTGCAGTTGTTAAATTAGTAACACTGTTATTAAGCAAATCTGGTTTCCCCATTGACTTTGCATATCACAAGGTCGCAGTGATCAGGTGACCCCCACACACTGCAACTGTTATAAATGTGAGTCAGTTATCAAGCATCCGAATGTAAATCATGTGACCATGAGGATGCTGCAATGGTCATAAGTGTGAAAAATGGTCATAAGTCACTTTTTTCAGTGCCGTTGTGACTTTGGATGGTCACTAAGCAATCTGTTGTAAGTAGAGGACTGCCTGCACTGAAGATGACCGAGAGGTCAAGCAAAGCAGCTCCCCAAATCCTGGGCAGAGCCAGTTAGGATCCCTCAATGAGCGGCAGGGTTTGCCAAGCGTCAGCAGCTCCTCCAAGCCTACCTCAGAGGGTTGTTATGAGGACTAGGGGGAGAATTAGCGCTTTAATCTGCCTGTAGATTAAACAAGGCAATAATAACGCCTGTCCAGCCTCCTCCACTTTTTCAGGATTCCCTCCCCCCCCCCACCCCCCGCCCCACCAGCTTCTTCTTCGCTTCAACGCCGCTCCGACTTCCTTTCAGTCCCCCGTTAAAGTCGTCACGCAACAAATCACGTCGCTCCTACGTTCCTCATGGATGCCGCCTCCTGTTCCGGTTCGGACGCCATTTGCGTGGCGGAACGCCGATGAGCAAAGGGCTTGTCTTGCCCTCTTTACTCTATGGACGCCTGGAAATAACAACGTTCCGCTTTGAGGCCATGGAAAACCACAACCGATGGCTTTCTCTCATTTTTATTCAGACGATTGGTCGGCTCTGCAATGCGTACTCTATGACTACGGACTTCCGGAACCCATGCTGACATCATCATCATCATCATCATCATCATCCCTTTCTGCACGGCCTTCCCTCGAACCCACGCATGAAACTAAGGGTTCGATTGCGTAAATGCAATGCGACAGACAGGATCCGGTCAACTGATGCTCAGAGATCATCGGAGTGCGCCGCCTCCCTTCCTCCAATTAAACTGCGGGCACGAAAGTTCTTTGTGCTACAGAGCTTTTGTTAGCTGCTTGAATACGTCATCAATCAGCGTCGGGTATTTTCGTGGTCTCATTGAAAAAGGTGGGAGCGGCGTAGAGACTGAGGTGGGTTTGATGTGGGAAAAAGTCCATTTTTATCTTGGTATTCCGAATGGGTTGAAATTGCGCTTTCCGTTTTCCTAGCAAGTAATGGTAATTGCCTGGGAATTCCCAAATACACTAAATCTGAAGGGCAACCGTTTTGGATGGGGTTTCCTAAAGTTATTTTCTCTGTTCTTTTTAACCTTTGTTTTCAGCTTACAGGTAGCTCTTGACTTGCGACTAAAATCTCTGCTGCTAAGTGAATGGCACCTGATTTTGCCTTTTTTTTTTACCTTCGTTGTTTAAGAAAATTACTGCAGTTAAGTGAAACACAAGGTCATTAAGCAAATCCAGCTTTCCCATTGACTTTGCTTGTCACAACCTGGCCGAGAAGGTTGCAGATGATAATCACATGACCTCAGGTTGTTGCAACTGTGGTAAATATATACCAGTTGCCAAGCAACCATATTTTGATCATGTGATTGTGGGGATGCTGTAAATGCAAGGACTGGTTGTAATTCACTTTTTTCAAGGCTATTGTACCTTCCAATTGTCTCTAAACAAATGGTTGTAAGTCAACCATGGACAGGGAGGCAAGGCCTGTGCTGCATCCTCCTCCGAGCTGAGCCTCACCAAGTCAGCGCCTCTGCCCAATGCCCGTGCCGCTGCAGCGTTTGGAGCTGCCGGCACATTTGGAGATGCATGGGGACAGGGACAGGCTGGGCGAGGGGTGGAAAGGACGGGCGGCTTCAAGCTCTCTTCGTCAGACCCACTGGCCAGGGAAGCAGTACTGCCGTCGCCTTGCCTCCCTGTCCGCAGACGGGTGGGTGCTATCACTGCCTCAGGCAGCCTCTCCCGGTGGCCCCTTTGGGTTTGGGCTGGAGGGACTTGGGAAGGGAGCCAAGCTTGGGTCGGCCCGGCTCTTTTGCTTGGCAGGCGGGCGCGCACGCAAGGCTCGCTTTCCCAGCTCTGCCCAGCCCGCACAACTCCTGTCTGAGTGGAGGGTCCGGCAGGGAGGTGCTCGCTGCCTTGGCAAGAGCTCCACCGCCAGGCAGGAGGGCCCGCCTGTCAGCTGCGCTGGGCTCCCCAGGTGAAGCTCTTTGCGCTCTGCCTAGCGCCAGGCAGGGATGGCGGCTGGGCCCTTCTCCTGGGGTGGGCCTATCCTGTGCTGCGGCCCCGGGAGATTCGCCTCCCCATGTGGGGTTGGGCTGCCCTCTTGGGCAGGGGAGGCTTTGTCGTACTGGTAGTAGGCCGTCGTTTTTAAAAGAATTGGCTTTGCCTTTGAAGGCAAAGGGAAGGCGGCGACAGGAGCACCTGAAACCGAGTGTCTCCACTAAGCTCCCATTGGAGGGAGGAGCCCTGGCTGGCTGCACATGGCTGCGCCAAACGCCGCAGTGTTGCTCTAAACGCCACGCCAGCACAGAAGGGAAAGCAACGGTGGCGGAAGGTCTCCCGGTACGAAGTGCCCCACCAACTCTGAGGTCAACATCCAAGCCGTCGCTGCCTGCCCACCCGAGGGATGCAAGGGGGGGGGGGAAATTAAGTCATCCCCGAAAAGACGGCCTTGCCGTTTTTTCGGGGGTCAAAAAAAAAAAAAAAGGCCCGGCCTTATTTTGTGAGAAACACAGTATTACACCTCCATCCACAACAACTCTATATGGTAGGTTAAACTAGGCTGACAGAGAGTAATAGTTCAGATATTTGGAAAGATGTGATGCTTTTCAAGCGAATCTATGAATTATTTTACTGTGATCAAGTTGATATAAGTTAATTTATATGCATTGCTTTCTCTTTAATTTTTTTTAACAGTTATGGCTGCTGTGAGTTTTGAAGAATTTTCAGTGCCTCCTGGCTCAGAGCTGGCATTGCCTCCTCTTTTTGGTGGAAATATCCTAGAAAGTGAGTTAGAAACTGAGGTAGAATTTGCTGATGGAGGGATACCAGAAGACGAGGAAGAGGAGGATATGTTGCGGCAACAAGAGATGACTCGACACAAGTGTCAAGTGCTTGCCCGACGATGCAAGGAGTTAGAACAGGTACATGATTAGAGTGAATATGTTTTTCACTATTTATTAACAATGTTTCTAACAACAATCTTGTGAAATAAAATAGATTTTAGAGAGAGGGTTCAAGAGATCTCTTACTACATAGGGCTAGATGAAAATTTGAACGTAGGTCTTTCTGGCCTCAATCCAGCATGCTGTTTACAATACCATACGTTCAGGAAAAAGGACTATGTGGACACTACATAGAGCAACAATGAAAAATTCAAGCGACACAACTGTTAAGTGTAGACTACTGTGGAAGAGGAGGGAATTGTTGACTAAATGAAAAAAAGATGTCCACCTAATATTGACTCTTATTATAGGTGAATGAGAGGATGTTAAACCGGCTACATCAGGTCCAGAGAATAACACTGCGTCTCAAACAGGAAAGAAGGTGAGCAGAAGATACAGTAGGGGCAAAATGTATTAAATATATACCCCTTTATGCAGCCCTAAAAAATTTAAAACTAGGATATTTAATTGGGAAACCTATGATTTTTCAGACTTTGCTGAGCTGCCCTTCCCAGGATTACCAATGATAACCTAGACTGGCTGGGTCTTCTGGGAGTTGTACTTCATCAAGATTTAAGGATAACGCTACTTCTGAACCAAGAGGCTGCATGTTTATACCAAAGAGATGAATTTTAACTTCTTTTATCTAATGTTTTCTATCTGTTTTCACCCCATTTTTTATTTTGTGAGACAGGATTCTGGTTAGAAAAAAACAGTTATACAAAAGGGTTGGTTTAAAAGAATGTCTTTCTACTTTCTCTGAGGTTTCTCATGAGAGTTTTGGATTCCTATGGTGACGATTACAGACAAAGCCACCTTGATATTGTCTTGGAGGTAAGAAAGAGTTTCAAATTAGGCCAAGTTTACACATTGCTATCATCTCTAAGAATGTTTGTTTGTTTGGGTGTTGTATGACTTCATACCTACTATTTCTAAATGATGGTCGAAGCCGTGGCATAAACTTGTGTCTTATGCAGTAGACATGGTTAATGTAATGCAATGCAAGAATCTCCAAACTTGGCAACTTTAATTCCTTAACCAGCATAGCTTCTGGGAGCCAGTATAGAATTCTGGGAGTTGAAATCCACAAATCTTAAAAGTTGCCAAGGTTGGAAACCTCTGATGTAATGCATACGTGAGTGCAGCTAAGATATAGAACTACGTGGATGAGACTTAGCAGAGTATCTACGTGCCCCTGACACTTGTTGTTCTTTTCCAGTTTATTGATTCTAAGAATACGAAAGAGTCAGCAAGGATCAGGAGCCATGTTAATGCTTGATTTGTCTCCAGGAAGGAATATTATCGTACATGCTAATAGTTTATTTCATTGAGGTCTGGAGGGACCATATCCTCTCAGCCTGTTGGAAGGCTGTAAAGTCCTAGCTCAAGGGTTTTCAAACTTGGCAAGTTTAAGATTTGTGGATTTCAACTCCCAGAATTGGTTGTCTCCCCTCTATGCTTTCCATGGGAATCAGATTTGATTCCCTGTTATAGTTTACATTCCTTTTTCATTGTCATCCATCCACCCACCTTCCTATCTTTCCCCAAGAGCCTAAAGACCTGGCTCTGGTGGTTGGCTGGGGTAAATCGAAACCGGGGGTGGCTGCTGAATTGATGGCAGACTCCACTTCCCTCCCTCTTTCTCTGTTTTCTACACATCCATCCATCCTTCTTTCTTTTTTGGTAATCATGTTGTATTCTCCTTGTGTTCTTTTTCATTGTTCATTTTATTCTGTTATCATACTTCTGTTTACAGACTTTCCATTTTTTCCTTTTTATTGTTATAAGCTGCCTAGAGTAGCCCCACAGCAAAGTAGGCAGCAAATAAATTAAATGAAAATAAATGTACTATACACCCCCCATCCCGAATAAGTAGTATTCCAGAACTGCTCCTTTTCTGCACGTGATTTCTGCAAGGGTTTGATAGCCAAATGCCATGAAGCTGTAACTGCCTTTGTAGGGAGTTCTTTGGATCTATCCCCCAAGTTGGATAGAAAAGCAAGACCAAGTCTCTTCCCCCCGAGCCCCTCTCCATATATTATAAATACTATGTGGCTTCCCATTGGGGGCAAGTGGGAGAATTCTAATTGCATCACTTTCTGTATTTAGGATGAAGGAATCCGTAGTGCAGTTGTTGCAACTCCTGGCAACGCAGAGAATAAGCCCTGTGAGAAAGAACCCCCCAGGTGCCTGCCTGCCCAAGAACCAGAGAACCTTTCCCCTAGTGAAGGCCCTGTCAGCAAGAAGCGGCGACGTCATCTGCGTGAGGAGAAGGAAGGGAGGATGCGTCGAGCAGCCCCAACATTGCTGCCCATGGAGGAATTTCCTGTGCAGGTACTGGGAAGTTTCAATGGTTCTGCAATTTAAATCGGCCTCCTGCCTATCTCCCTACCCACCCACCATCAGAAGTGGTTGAGATTTTTAGTGGGAACAATTAAAATGACATAAAAATACAATATGTCAATTTATGTGAATATATGCAATTTGTCTGGCTTCTTTTCACTGCAGAGATTAAAGACTCCTGCACATTATCAATTAATAATAATAATTTTTGGGTTTTGTGGCTGCAGATAAAATCTGAAGAAGATTTCCAGTGTGAACAGGATGATGTTCTCGGCTCTGCCTGGCAGCAATCCAGTCCCCAGGACAAGTTACTCCATTACTCAAAGTTTCCCAGCCCTGGTGCCTGTTCTGATTTTGACTGAGGCTGGCCACTCATCTAAAGAAAGCATCAGGGTGCCTGAGAAGATGAAAATCCCTTGCAGACATCTTAGATCTCAACCAGGATCTAAGGAACAACAGGATATCAACTCCACCTGACTCCTCAACTCTAATCCAGTGAAAGATGATCTGAACTGCTGGGGGTGGAGGAAGTGGTAGAAGTAGTGGTGATGAAGTTTAAGTAAGAAACAAAATTTTGGAGTCTGTGTGTAAGGATATTCAAAGGATTAGCTTGAGTCACTGAGCTGAGTCCATAATGAACTCAACTTATGTCCATAATCTTTGAATGGGGAAGCAAGAATTTGAGCAGAAACATTTGTATCCTTTCAAGATTGAGGAAGGGCCGTTTTGAGAGGTCAGGGTTCAGCCTTTCCACATTTGCCCTTCTGATATCTGACTTTGTAATTCTGGTGGGTATGGGAAAGGGGACAAGTGATTCTTGTGCATTAGAAAGTGCACAGAAACAGCTATTGCTGCATTTTACCATGGTGGTTTCTGTGGATGTTCTTGGTTGGAAAACCTTGTACTGAAGGAAGGCGGAGTTCTTTTAATATTTCTTCAAGGTTTTTCACAGTGTCTTGATTTATGGTATCATAAAATCCAGCATGATTAAAAGGCCAATTGAAGTCTGTATGAAAGGAAGTAATTTATGTGCTGTTGACCTGGGTATTTATGAGAATTGTTTTATGTGTCAGTTTAAGAACTTAGCATGTCTTTGCCAGTCCAGAAGAGAGCATGAATTAGCACCCTTTCCTGTAGTTTCCTCCTCAAGGAAACATCCAAAGAGTTTCAAGATTTTCCTGCTAGCCATAAGGACCAGGAACTCCTCCACCGCCAAATATACCCTCAAGTTAGGAATGATAATATTTAAACAAGCCACACTTGTAGTCTAATTGCATTTTTGGATTTAGAAGAGTTACAGAAATACAACTGAGCAACGTTCAAGCTTATAGCTTCTACTTTGTGGCAAGATTTGAATGATACATTAAACCAATCAAATGTGACTGTGTGCTTATTCTTATTAACAGTGCATCTTATGGTGTGTGTCCTTTAACAAAGATCTAAGATGTAAGGAAGCTGGTTTGGTGTAGTGATTAAGGCAACAGGCTGGAAATCGGGAGACCATGTGGTTTTATCCTAGGCACAAAGCCAGTGGGGTTAAACCGCTAGTCAATCTCAGCCTTAGGAAAGAATCCAGGGCAAATCTCTTCTCAAAAATATTGCCAAGAAAGCTTCACAGTCTTGTCCGGGCAATCACCCAGAGTCCAGACTGATGCAAAGGTGTGTACATACATACATACATACAAGAGGTGGAGTGGCTATGTAAACCTGGAATCCTTAGCTTGCAGAAGTTAGAGTTAAAGTACCTAACTTTATTTTTAAATGCAGTTCTTTTCTAACATTTTTCTAATTATTTAAGAGGGAAAATAGGGTGGTTGTAGCAATTCAGTAGGGCACCAATTGTATTTAAAGGGAAAACCCAAGTTTCTGTAACCCAAACTGGCAGTCATTCTGGATTGACAGAGGTGTTCAGCCTTAGACAAGCCTTAAAAGCTCAGCACACCAGTGGTGGTATTCAATTTTTTTTTTTACTACTGGTTCTGTGGGCATGGCTATGTGGTCATGTGACTGGGGGGGTTCTAAAGACAGAAACTCACTTTCTGGAGCAGGGGGTTGGACTAGATGATCTCCAGGTATCTTCCAGCCCTGGATTGGTGTGCTGTTTCAAAGCATCCTCTGAAGCTGCACTTAATGCAGGGGTCTTCAAATTTGACAGACTTGTGGACTTCAACTCCCAGAATTCCTCCTCTGGTCATGTTAGCTCAGGAATTCTGGGAGTTGAAGTCCACGAGTCTTTTTTTTTTTTAATAAAAGTTTTATTTAAGTTTTCACAAAACATACAAATACAAATAAAATATCTTTTTTGGAGAACAGCGTGGCCCTGGGTTATCACTTCTCCATACAGACATAAACTCAATACATATTTATCTTATACATTCTAATCCATATGTTATAACTATTTTCACAATTTTTTCAATAGCTTTTCCCTTTCTTTACTTCCTATAGCCTTATTTTAAATTATCTCATTCCTTTCTGAATTCAATTACATATCTTTTTCTAATTTTTAAAATCTTTCTAATCTGTTTTTATACTTTCGTCTGTCCTGTTTACAATTTCATATTATCTTTTCTCATAAAACAAAATTTCCCCTGTAATTACTAGACTAGAGTGTAACACCTTTGTATCTTTTTTCAAATCTTATTTAAAAATTTAAGTTACAGCTTTACAGTTATAACATTCATTTTCTAACCTCTATTTTATAACACATACCTATTTTCAATCAAATTCTGCTTGGTACATTCCCTTAAAATACACACTAAATTCTTAAAAGAAAAAAGTATATATGTATCTGTGTGTGTGTGTGTGTGTGTGTATATATATAAATAAATAAATAAAACAATAGTAAATGGAATAATTATTCTATTCAAGTACAGCTCTGCCATTAATAATAATCTTTTACATTTCTATTTCTTTTAACAAACATTACTAGTAATATCAGTTGTCTTTCACCTTAATCTATATTTCATATTTTATTTATTGCTGTCTTTAAATAAAAAACCAAACAATCGTTATTGACAGTAGTCAATAAAGTTATTATTCTTATTCAAGTTCATCTTATCAACTGATAAAAATCTTCCATGTTTCTTTTCAATTTTTTTAAACATTCTTTTTAAAACATTGAGAGCCTTATTCTCTTTACAAATATTCCACTACACATCAATAGAATTTTTTTCTATCACTTTTATCATCTAACATATAACAATGCTATCTCATGCACCTCTGCAGAATCCTCTCCTTGAATTTTAACCATTGTCTCTGTGTCTTTTAAATAGGTTTATACCGTTAATTCCTGTACGTTTTTCCTGTACCTCTATATCTTGTTTCTGTCTTTTGTAGCTTCTTTTCCTTTCCTTTTTCCCTCTCTTCTTCTCCCTCCCCTTTTTATTCCCTTTTCTATCTGATTCTCCCTTCAGTGATCCTCCCTTCTGCTTCTTCCTGATGTTATGATTACTATTCAAATTACTCTTTTTTTCGGTTGTTGCTTCAGTATTTAAGTTTTTAACTCCCTTTCCCTATTTTACCCTGCTTAAAGTTGCTTGGTCATTGAAGATGGCTTCTTCTTTATCCCGCCCTTCTTGTTCTGTCAGCGTTTCTTGTTTATCATAGTTCAAGATCTCCATTCCTAAAAATTGAAATATGAAGCCAAAGGATCCTCTTCCGTCTTGTGCTTCATCTTTTTGTTCTTTAAGTCTCATTTTTAACTCTTCAAGGAGTGATGCCATTTAAAAAAAATTTAAACAACCCCCAGATGATTTTATTTTATTTCAATAGGATCCTCCATCCAAAGTTCCAGGAATCATCCAATAATCCAAAGCTGTTTCTTGCTTCTTTTCTCACTTTCTCTTTCCAGGGGATTTGTTCTCTTGTAACAAAGTTTCAGCTACAATGTATCTTTTGAAAGCCTTGTTAAAATTCCACTATCAATTTTTTTTAAGTTCCAGGTGGTCTCCTCCATTTTCCAGATTCCACCCTCTTTTCTCCTTTTTCCCTCTGCTTCTTTTTTTTTAAAGAAAGTTTTTAAATTGTCCAAGAATCTTTATCCCTTTGAGACTTTATTTTCAGCTAGAAATAGCCTATTAATGTCAAAGTGGATTAGTATCAATTTCTTATTCGAATCTCTTCTTAACGTCAAGTCAGTTAAAACTGTCAATGTTAGAGGAAAAAAAGCCAATTCCGTTTCCTTTCCCTTTCTCTTTCGCAGCTTCAGATATTTTTTAGGAATAGTATTAGTCTTTAAAATTCAGGTTCCAGGTACCTTAAATAGATGTTCTCCATTCAACCCGGTCAGTCAAACTTTCTCCTTTAAACTTCCCCCTGCACAATCTTGTCCGGTCGGGTTCTTCTTTGAGGTGTCCATTTCTGACCACTGCTACAACTGCCTTTGGGAAAGGGAGTAATGGCCAGCTGAGGAGGAGAGATGGGGCTCTCCTCAACCCCGCTGACGGCTCCCCCTTCTTCACCACTTCTATGGGGTGGCTTCAGCCCCGAATCCGGGCGGCTTGGGGTGCTCCAGCGGTGAGCACAGATCAAAACCGCGGATGATCGCGATTTTGGTCCATCGCCGAAGAAGCCCAAACCGGAAGTAAGTCCACAAGTCTTAAACTTTTCCAAGTTAGAAGACCCTTGGTCTACTGGCAAGGTTTGTGGGTCCTTCCTTCCTCTCCTTTTTCCCTCCCTCCCATTCTTTTTCTTCCTCTTCTCCCTCCATTTCTCCCATCCCTCCCTCTCTCTTTCTTTTGCAACCTCCCCCACCCAGTTTTTGGCCTAGTGGGCCTCAGGGAAAGCTCCTGAGAGCTGGAAAAAAACCCAGCATTATGAAGTGAGGGGGAGAAATCGGCTGTGCCCACGATTTAGATTAGCTAGAAAGCAAGATATCAGACAATTTCCTGCTTTCTAGCTAATCTAAATCGCATGGCACAGCTGATTGTCACCAAGCTGGTCACTGGAAATACCAGTTCAGCCGAATCGGTAGATTTTTTTACTCCTGGTTCAGCTGAACTGGTAGGTTTTTTTACTACTGGTTCGGCCACTGCAGCACACTCCGTAGGGAGGGTAAGATGGAGGCAAGAATACTCTTATGAATGAGTCTGCTTGGCTAAATACATTGCACAAATTGTGCCCATAATTTTAACTAGCACCTTTTGGCTCTACCAAGGAGAGTGAATCAGACACATAAACCACAATTAGCTGGGCCTCTACAGCACATTAAATAATTGACTAACTGACCTAAATTTAGAAATTAACTATTGCATTGATATATCATGCTATGTTGAAACCAAACAAGCCATATCACGACTTAGTATATGCAGTATAAGTCCAGTCAAATTTTCCTCCAAGATTTGGTTCAGTGTCCTAATTTAGAACTGGAAGGTAGAAGGAAGGAAACCATGTCAATAAACAATTGTGCACTATGATTTTTTCCCAAACAATTTTCTGACAATGCATAGTGTCATCTTCTCTGCACCTCCCTTAAGGGATTTTTATCTTTCTTGACAATAAGAAACACAAGAGTGTTGCTCTCTTTCTTTTTTTCCCCCTAACTGGTGTAGCAGGTTGTCACTGTTTTTCTTAAAGCAGCCGTTTGTGACTATGTGCAGTGGTATCAGGCACTTAACTCCAGAAAAAAAATCCCAGTTCCATTAGTTAAAAAGAGCCCCACAACTTAAGTCTCCTAAGAGCTTTAACAACCTGATTTTATGAAGGATAGATATTCCAAAAATTCCAGGTATCCTCCCACCTGCTCCTGATCTAAATTTCCAGCCACAACAACAGAGAAACCTGCTTTTAGATACAAGAGGAAATTTATTGCACCTGGGAAGAAACACATGTACAACCAAGGCAGGGGAACCTTGTGGGGAGATCTGCACTCTGCAGGTTCTCATTTCTTCAGCCAATCAACTTCACCCTCCTTGTCACAGGGATGAGCAGGAATATCTGGCATATTACCATCATCTCGAACTGGCACTATGATGAAGAAAGGACAAACAAAAACATCAACTGTAAACTTCCAGCAGCAACACTTATAGAATTATAGATTGAGCCGTGGTGGTGCAGTGGTTAGAGTGCAGTACTGCAGGCTACTTCGGCTGACAGCCAGCTGTCGGCTGCCTGCAATTTGGCAGTTCAAATCTCACCAGGCTCAAGTTTGACACGGCTTTCCCTCCTTCCGAGGTGGGTAAAATGAGGACCCAAATTGTCTGGGGCAATATGCTCACTCTGTATACTGCTTAAGGGGAGCTGTAAAGCACTGTGAAGCAATATATAAGACTAAGTGCTATTGCTATATGCTGGAAAGAAGGACATGAAGCACTTGAATCAGTGCTTGGGTTCACATATTACACTAAACCATAATGTGCTTCGTTGGTTTTGGCCTAGCATGGGGAACAAATCCTGTCTTTGTGCTCTGTACATTGTGGTAAGTTAAGTATCTAAATCTATTTGGGCCTGATCTCATATGCTAAGGCAAAATGTAGCTTCTTATTTGTAACCAAGCATTCAGGTGGTCC